TCGGAGTGTCGGTGGCCGCACCGGTTTAAGTATTGACACAGATATCCGTCTAAAGGTCCCGGGTTCGAATCCAGAAGCCCTTCATTACAAGTGGGCTTTTTTTTCCCCTCCCTTCTCCTAAAAACACCGGCACCCCGAGGGTTGATATGACCTATGCTAAATGGTTTTTATGATCGGAGTGAAGCTTGTCCGACAAATTACAGTTTATTCAGGATTTCGTCTTAATCTGTGCTGAATCGGACAAACATTAAAACAGATTTTGGGGAGTTTGAACTAAAAATAGAGTTCAGACATATCGTGGAATCTGTGACAAAGGCAATAAACAAAAATACCAGTTGGACATGAGTCCATCCACTCACTCAGCAACCGACATAAAATAAAGGCGGAAAAAGTGGAAAAAAATAAGTCTGACAAATTAGTTTATTTTGATTTTTTTGTTAAATTCTGCTGAATCGGACGAACGTTAAAAAAGATTTTGGGGAGTTTGAATAAAAAATAAACAAATGAATAAATAATAGTGGAATCTGTGACAAAGACGTTATTGTAACAACATTGTAATTCTAAAAATGTGATAATGGGTTGAAACAGAATATTACATAACAGATAAATTGCCCAGTTAAAAATAAACTAACTTTTGTTATAGGTTTTAGGCTTATTATGGCATCTTGACAAAGACAATAACAAGTGGAACGTAATAAAACCTGAAAGACTTAGACCCATGTGATAAGATCAACATGAGTTTATCCACTTAACAAACTGGCCTACACAAAATAAAGTCTGTAAAATACGTCTGATAAATTAGTTTAATTTGATATTTTTGTTAAACTGTGCTGAATCGGATGAACATTAAAACAGATTTTCGGGAGTTTGAACTAAAAAGAGTTCATTCCTATCGTAGAATCTGTGATAAAGATAATAAAATATATTTAAAAAAATTAATTATTCATGTTATATTACTCAAGCTTAAACAATACTGCCTGGGTAACATGTCCCATTCCTTTAATAGAATTTTATTTTATTTTTTACCATTATTTAATATCAATAGATTTGTTAATAGCGCTTTTATAAAATGGCCATAATAATTATTTAATCACAAAAATCTAAATCCAATAATACTACTAATGAAGTGATTAGCCTACAAGACACTACTGTCAAAAATTACTATATTAAGCTAATAAAATCTAATCGACCTATTGTTACTGTTTCTTTTCGTTAGATTTGTGAGTAAGTAATCTGTTCAATGGTTCTCGTATCGAATTTATTGATTAAAAAGGATTAAGATTATAAGTTGAAGGATTAAATTGGTTGATTTTCCTCTCAGTTAAGTACTTTTGATGATTTGTAAAATGTATTTAAAACAATTTATGTCTCCTGTAGTCTGAAAAATATTCAGATTAGTAAGTAACCCAAGGAATTTTTAAAGGATTAATGTATGAAATTCAGTTAATGTATGTGTGTGGTTATAAACCAGTTTTGGACATTTCCAGTCGTCCTGAGTCCTCATTGACCTGTTAGAAAAACAAACAGCAAAAATAGATCGATGAAAAACAGCCAGGCTACAACAATAAGTTAAGCATACCTGTTGTAAATATCTAAGTTCAAACCTGGCAAGTAATTTCGATTAATAAAAATAATAATAATTATTATAGATAACGATTATTTGGAGATTGTGAAGTGCGGTCTGGTGTGACATAGGTTTAGAAAACCATTTTCTTTATCGCGCCAATGTTTCGATCTTGATTGAGTTCATTTTCAGGGTTCAGTGTTTCTGTGAAGATGTGTCATTACTGTGCGACGTGTTGAGAGTGCCCCTTCTAAACCTGACAGCATCTCACAATTTCCAAATAATCATTAATTAACTGTCACTAAATACCACACATTATAGATAACATTTATTTGATTTTAAAGATTGGATTTTTCAGTGGAATTAGTCTGACAAATTACAGTTTATTCAGGTTTCCGTCTTAAGCTGTGCTGAATCAAACATTAAAACAGATTTTGGGGAGTTAGAACTAGAAGAAAACAGAAAAAAATGATAGTATAGATACAGCAACAGAAAAAAAAGATAATATAGTTACAGCAACAATTTTTTTTTACTGTTTTGTAACTTTAATTTTTCCCAGTTGAAAATTTAATCAATGGTGTTATTGACCTCTTGTCTGACAAATTACAGTTTATTCAGGTTCCGTCTTAAGCTGTGCTGAATCGGACAAACATTAAAACAGATTTTGGGGAGTTTGAACTAAAAATAGAGTTCAGACATATCGTGGAATCTGTGACAAAAGGCAATATTGAAACTATTTAACATAATATATTGTGTGTGCATATGTAAAAATTGTGTAAACAGAACATTGTTAAAATCCCTATTATCAATTGGTTTATAATAATAATTTAAGGAATTTTTTCACCATTATTTAATATCGGTGCAGTTAAATAATTAATTATTAACAATTAATACTAATAATTAAGTATTTACAAAAAGCTAATCCTATAATAATCATAATTAAGTGTTTTGTCTACAATACTCTTGACTTTCAAAAATTACTGCATTACAGATGATTCATAACAATTCGCTTTGAGTGGTGATAAGTTCGGATCCAAAACAATTGACAAAAACTGACAAATTACAGTTTAATTTGATTTTCGTGTTAAACTGTGCTGAATCAAACAAACACTAAAACAGATTTTGGGGAGTTTGAACTAAAATGTAGTTCAGACCTATTGTGGAATCTTTGACAAAATCAAATAAATAAAAGTTTAAAATATGTATTAATTGAATTTTTAAATTTCTCTGTGGATTGATGAACCTGTGAAATACGATTCAAATATAATGTCGCTGGATTTATGAAAGAACAAAATCAATATATTCCTAAAAATGAATCAATTTTATAAGTACTTTATTTACACTTGTTTACTATTTGATATTATTAATCTCACTCTGCCTCCACGATATCAGATACGTGGCCACTACAATCGGGTGTAGTATAATGCATAGCGATCATGATAACGGGACATTGTTACATCTTCCCCCTGCTATAGAAGAAATTTACCTGTAGGAATAAATTTGCTGGAATCACGTACAATTAATTTCTTTGTACCTTTGTTGCAATCTATTTCGTAGTGTTAGAAATGCATTGTGTAAAAAGAGGGACCACTTTTAATTTCGTCTAATTTATTTCTATTTACTTTATTTCCTCCTTCCCTGTATACCAACTCATTAATGGGAATTTGTATTCTTTCCAATTTTTATCACATTTTTTTTTATTCTTCTCATGATTTAAAATTGAATTTTCTAAAGCACTCTGATGGTGTAAATTGCGCTTAATTTGGAGTAGTTGTGGAATGATGGTGGAATCTCCAAGATATATAGGTGTAAATTTTGTGATGTTATGGATTGTGGTATTGTATGCCTAAGTACAATTTTCTGCTGCTGTCTTAGGCCATGATCATGTTTTTTCATTATCACTGTTTATTGTGCATCTAATATGATCTACTAATATGATGAAGACTTTCATTCAGTCCATTAGACTGTGAGCAATTTACTGAAGTAAAAAGTAGAGAAACACTTTTGAAACAATATATTCCTGAAACTCTGTAGACTTACTACTGAATAATGGTCGGCCAGTAGTATTTTAGCTTCATTTTTCTTGAGCACTGGATCTGCAAGACTTACAAAAATCTTGTTTTGACCACATGAGGTAGATATAAATGCAAATCTTGAGAAGTGGTCAACTGTAGATATTGTTTCGAGGAACTGTTGCCAACAACTGTGTCTATTGACATAATTTCGTATGGTGTAGTTGGCGGACCCAAATGGGAACGCAACCCGATTGGACAGAGTGTTCTTATATATTTGGCATGAATTTCAGTATTTTGTTACCAATTTATCCAAATTTTAAAAGTAGTAGTATGGTCGTCTGTAATAATGTGAGTTGAGCCCCTATGGGTCCAAATTGCATATGGATTTTCTCAATCAACTTTTGGTCTAATGTCTTCTCCTTATGCCCTTTATTTACACTTGTTCATTATTTGATATTATTAATTCTCTCTGATAATGTTCATACTTCATATCATTTTCTGACAATGTCTCCACGATATCGGTTACGTGGCCAATACAATTGTGCAATAGTCTCGCACATAGCGTTCATGCCACAAAGCCTCCTCGTAGATCCCTCTGGGGAGGTTTGCAGATAGCCAGTGTGAGAAAAAGGGTAGCCATTGGCAGTGGTCGACACTAGTCATAGTAGTTGTCAAAAGTTGAATGACACTGGTCAGTTGGTCAGAGTTAGGCACTATGGCAAATAACTAGCCAATTAACAAATGTGTCTGTAGCATTAGCACACTTAGTATGAATTATGTCTGAGCTCGTGTCTATGACTATAATGAAGTATTTAAAAAAAAAATTGTCTTTTTCGTCTACTAACTCATTGTAGAGCGTGTAGAATTCTTTTTTCTTTTTACATTTGTTTATTCATTCCTCACAAATCTTCTTTTTCTTTTTTTGTCTATTTCTACACAATCCAATTTCTTTCCTTCTTCTTCTTCATGTAAAATTGCAACCACTTCAAGGTAGGTACATTCAGCTCTCTAGTTTGTCTGTCGGCGTCTGTAGTGAGTTGTCGTGTGAAAACTTGTGTCTTTGCCGTGTCTGCCACACTATGTGTCGGTATACATGAACTTTAGTTGGGCAATGCCAACCATTTTTGGTCTACCTATCATTGGTTTTGTCTGTTATATGGGTTTCAGCAGTTTTCAAAAACACTGGCTGGCCCTCCGAGGATGCCCGTTTTGAATTATGGAAAATAGATCACCATATGTGAAGTTCTAGACAGTAAAAATATTTTGCTCTTGTTATTTGCACATTTTCTCTGTTAACTCATCCTGACACCTGTCCTGTGCCTACTTGCCGGTAATTTAAAAAATAAAATAAAATTGTGTGTTTGGCCTAAACAAAATTTCCAAAATAATTATTTAGTAACAAATTTCTTTTTGTGTTTCAGTCTTGATAAGAAAACAAAAGACTTCAATATTGTGCAAAATAGTCTTAACGTAGCCGAGTCCCAATTGATGGATTTGAATCCAAAGTATCAACAAGCACAACAAGATAAAAAGAAACTCTTAGTTGAAAATAAGGTAATTAAAAAGAAAAAATTGTTTAAATTCAGAAAATTAATTATTACCATGAAATTGTAGAATCTTGAAAAGGAGCGTAACAAACTAGCCGCACAGCTGGCTGAAAGTAAAAAGCAGGTAGAAGAAGAAACGCTTTCTCGAATTGATATGGAGAATACACTTCAGAGCATGAGGGAAGAGCTTGCATTCAAGGAGCAGGTAAATTTAATTTTACTATTAAAAAAAAGAAGTAAAAAAAGCCGAATTCATTTTATTAACCATAAATTTCAAAATTTAGATCCACCAACAGCAGTTGGTAGAATGCAGGACAAAAAAACAAGTCGAAATCAGCGAATTAGATGGCCGCCTCGCCCAAGAATATGAAGAGAAATTGTATCAGAGCTTACAAGATATAAGAGAACAATATGAGATTGATTTGGAAAATAATAAAGAGCAAATTAAGGTTATGTGCGAGGAGAAGGTATAGTAACAATTTTTTGTTTAATCATATTCTTTTCGAACTTTCCTGGAATGCTGATCCAACCACTGTAGTAAAAGATGTAGAAATTTACAGTGGCAAACGAATGAAATGTAGAGTTTATTTAATGGGATATAACAGCGTAGCCCCAGTGCTAACGTACATTTCTTAATTCATGAAATAAAAACTAGCCTCATTCTATACAAGAATGAGTTTGTCACATTAACACTTAAAAAATAATTGATTATTAATTGTGAACTACGCCATTAGTTCTTAGTGTAAGTTCATTGATACAAAATAATATAAATGTTAATAATAATATAAATGTTAATAAAAAATGAAATAACAGCACTACAAATAATTAATAAAACAAATATCTGTTTTCAGGTTAGAAGCTTGTCAAGCCAGTTGACGAGAAACACAAACGCTGCATCTATGGCAATTGAAGAGATGAGACAAACACAGCTTCGCGTTGAGACTCTTAACAAAAAAATGGCCGAACTTGAAGCCGAAAAGAATTTGGCAAATGTAAGTTTTACTAGGGTTGGTTGCAGTATATCACTATCTATATGATAGGTGATCTAGTGTGCACTTGTTAATTTTTGTCTGGGAATGTAAGTTTTAAAAAATTTTACCATCAAAGAGATAAGATTCATACCTTTTATTGCAACATGTAGGATTGGTTAGGCTACATATCTCTAACTCTAAGAGTGAGTGTTCACAATATGGACTTACCCAAGGCTGCTTTCTCTGGTCTCTGGGCTTTACTCATCAGTCCACTTGTCTCGTTTATCTAGGTTCGGCTGTCTGCTTTGATTTTCTAATTCTTTCCTTTTATGTTGTCTCTAAACAAAGACGGAGAGAAAGAAAAGAAAATTTGTTAAGCCTGCGAGTGTAAGTCATGACCCACTAGTCTTCTGGCTAATACTACCACATTTTTTGGTTAATATAAGTTTCCTTCAAAATATCGGCTAGTTTCATTGGCATTTCATCTAGTGAAAGAAGAAGGGCGTTCAAGAACTCACTGCATCCACCAGGAAAAAGTTTGTTGAAAAATATTTAACTTTCCACATGGAAAACCAAAATTTATTCTTGATACTCACCTGGTCTGTTGACTTAACTTGGGAATCACCAGGTTTGTTGATTCTCATGCTCTTCGGAATACTTGACTCCTAGTTTGTTATTGACTCACCTGGTCTGTTGGCTTTACTTGACTCTCATACTCTCGGGAGTCTCTAGATTTGTCGACTCTTCTGCCAAGTTTACTTGACTTTCCTGGTTTGTCAACTTTATTCTTCTCTCCACCTTTCTCATACCTCAATTTTCCTGGTATAATTGACTGCTTTTATTCTATTTAAAATTACTGGAAGCTTCAGTTATTCAGCTCACCGATCCCAGGGTCAATGGTCCTCTGTGTAGGGGCCTATCTGGTCCAAACGATTCTACATTTATGGCGACCCCTACTTTGTTGTCCCTAAAATCTTATTTGATCATTGTATTTATAAACCCTAGCAAAACCTTTTTAACCTTAGCATTATATTAACAATTACTGCATAATTATTGACAACTTTATATTAAGGTAGACTAGCTTAAAATAGGATTTGTTTCCATTAAACGTAATCTTGTTTCAGCAACGTGTCAGAGATTTGGAGAAACAGCTTGAAAACGCAAAGGGCCAGTACATTGAAGAATTTGGAAAATATGATTTGGAGATTACCAGATTGAGGGAAGAAATGGCTCATCAAGTGCAAGAGTATCAAGATTTGATGGACATCAAGGTAGCACTTGACATGGAAATTGCAGCTTATAGAAAACTCCTTGAAGGAGAAGAAGCAAGGTAGTAAAACATTAATTTAAAAAAAATTCAATTATTCATTATACGTTGATTTAATCCAATTAATTATACTTTTTATGTAAAGTCTTGGTTGAGATGAAATTAATTGAAATAAATAAATAGGTTAATTACGACCGCCAAACATATATGGACTTTTATGTAATATTTGCTCCCAAATAGGTTGAACATAACGCCCGTCGTATCTCCGGCTGCTAGGCCAACACCGAGAAGAATCGCTCGTGCTAAGCGCAAGCGAGAATACTTCGAGGAGACTGAAGAAACCTCTGCTAGTGATTATTCTGTTACTTCAACATCTAAAGGGGATCTTGAAGTTTCAGATTGTTGTCCTGATGGGACCTACGTGAAAATAACAAATAAAGGAAATAAGGTTTGTGTTCACAACTGCATCGTTGTCAAAAACCAGTAACAAGTATTAATTAAACCATTGGTTGTACATTGATAACAATTTTTCTAAAATTCAGGAGTTGTCGTTGAGCGGGTGGCAAGTTGTTCGCAAAGCAGGCAACGATTCTTCGACCTTCAAGTTCCACCGTACTGTTAAAATTGAACCAGGGGCTGTAATTACTATTTGGTCTTCAGGCAGCTCTCACGATCATGATCCTCCATCTCATCTGGTGATGAAAACCCAAAGATGGGTCGTTTCTGACAATATGGCTACCAGCGTCATCAATCCAGATGGAGAAGTAAGTCATCCGTTTTCCTGTCTATTTTCCCAACTTAAACCATAATGTCTGATATGCCTAAATTTTTACTTGTTATAGTATATTGTTAGTGATACAATTTTTTTAAATAATCTTTTAGGAAGTTGCTGTTGCAGAGCACAAAAAACAACAGCGTTCTTCTATGGTTTCTCATCAGAGAGACTCAGGTGGCTACTTTCCACAAAGATCATATCTTCCTCGGTCCCAGTTCAGACAGGTGAATAAATTACACTACTGTGGGATAGTTTTCTATTGAATATTGTTTGCTAGTAATTTCCAAATCCAAACTTATAATGGCTGTAGTGTTAACATCACCACCAATTGAAACTGAAAAAAACAAACTGTATCGTAGATATGTTACCTAACCTGTTCTTAACCCTCACTCTTAATCCTAACTCTATCTTGCCTAACCATTCCAAACCTCATTCTACCTTACTTAACCCGTTCATGTTCTTAACCCTCACCCTAATTGTACCCCGACCTTGCCTAACCTTCACTCTATTCCTTACCATACCTAACCTAATATCTTCTTAATCCTAACCCTTCCTCACTCTAGCCTTCACATTAATCCTAACCTAGTATAATCCATACCTAACCTAATCTTTATCCCATTTTACCTAACCTAACCTAGTTCTAGCCCACCCAACCATCCTTAACCTTATCCTTGTGCACTCCTCTGTACCATAAAATTGATCGAAATATTTACAAAAAAAAATTATGCATCTAGCCCAAAAACAAATCCACGCTAAAATAATGTACAGTTGGTTTATTTATTAATTGATTTAAAATAAATAAATTTAGTTTTATTACTTGGTTTTATCCATCAGACATGCATTTGGTCATCATTAGTGGCTGGTTATGCCTATTTTTTCTCTACTTAGCACTAGTCACCAACAGAATATAACTGGAAAATTAAGACAGAGATATCATTCCAATCAAAAGCCTTTGCCAACCTCACACAAAGGTCATCATTAACTAAAACTGAACCATTCCCACTTCTAAAATTCCACACCAAACTTTCGATCAATCCTAACCTGTATCCTCCGGGTGCAGTGTTGCAGAGAGAAAATAATCTGTATTCACACCCACATATTTTGTACATGTAAATATTTTAGTTTTGACCATCCCTATTTATATTCTTTGTTAATACTTTTCTGTCTTGTTTCAGGGAGATGCAACCTCTGGTGTCTCTGAAGAAAGGTGCTCGATAATGTAATTTTAAATCAAATTAATTAGACATAGACTTAATGTGACAAAAGTGCACATAAAATTGGAATCTTCCTTTTCTTTTTATTTAAAAATATATATAGTTTGTGTTGATAGGTTTATTTAAAAAAAAATCACAGACTTAATATTAATTTTCCTTTTTATAACATAATCTATGTCATTCACTGATAGCATTATTAAGGTACTTAATTTTTGGGCTTTATTCTTGTAATATCATCTTTTCTTTTCTTCTTCAAAATTGTTAAATATAGGAGCTTTTATTTCTGAGTATTGTACGTGTGTTTAATGTTTCTTTTCAATTGTATATAAATGCATAAGCATATAATTGAAAGATGTGAACAATTGAGAGGAGTCATTTGTTAGGTTTAAAGTAATATTAGTCATTTGATAAGTCCAGTTTTCAAGTTCCACCAAATAAATGGGAAGATTTAAATTTTTTTATTGATTTTTTTATATTTGTGTTCAAATAGTTATAAAAATAAATTTAAAAAAAAACGATGTTTTGTAGATTTATCAACTAACTTATGCAGATAATGTTCTCTTGGTTGTTATCAGGTTGTTCTTTGACCACATCCCTGATAACAACCAAGAAAACATTTAAAAAAGATGTGCAGCTAATCAGGCAAAGTTGATTTCTTTTTTCTTTTTTTAATAAAATTGGTTATTATATTTTCCCAAATATATGAAACAAATCTGTGAAGGGGAAAATTGGCATATTATTAACTTTGCTTTTTTAACTCCATCATCTTTGTTATTCTTGTATTTTGTTTCGCCAAACAATTGCCAAAGAAGGAACTGATATTGAAGCACTTCGGGTTCTTTTTGTTCCTCTGAAGTATTATTGTTTACAAGAAGAATTGAGTTAAGAAATTGATACAAAAAAAATGTATGAAAACTTATGAATTTGGATCATTTAATTAAAAAAATTAAAATGAGGAATTGATTTATAGGTTTGTTTTTCTCTATTTGATATTTATATTTTTTAAGTGCCTTCAAAAAAAGAAAAGTTTACTATCCACAACAATTTATTAACCAAACAGCACCAACTTAGGTAAAATAATTTTTGTTTTTGAATATTCTATCAGTTTTTGCAAAGAAATGAGAAATATTGGTGCAAATTCATTGAAACCTGGGCCATCTGTATGATTGTCAAGTAAAAGAATGTGTGATTGTCGCGAGTACATGTGCGGACGTGTTTAATTCAAATTAGTTTGACACTTAAAAAAAAAAAAAAAAAAAAAATTAAAAACTATTTTATCAAAACGAAAAAAAAATTTTTACTTATAAATTTTGTGACAGTTGGGTTGTAGAACATTATATGGTTGTAAACCATTGTGTTGTATAAAGATAGAAAAAAAAGTTGGCGTAAATTCCCAAATCCAAGGCTTTTAATTTATGTAAAAAGCATCCAATGTTAACATTAACAAAAAAAAAAAAGAGCTACGTAAATCTTTAATAAATTAAAGTTGGTGCATTTATCTGTCTGAAAATCACGTATATATTTATACATTTGTTTTTAGTTTTTAATAGTTACAACCAGTCTTAAAGTATTGTTGTAATTTATATATTTATTATAGAAGTGTAATCTTATAAAAGAAAAGAGAAAAAAATATATATGTTACAACAGATTTTGGTCAAGTATTTTAGAATATTTTTATTGTTAACATTGTTACTTGTAATAAGTTCTTTTGATTCTCCTATATCATTTATTTTTTTCAGAATTGTATTATTACTAACAAATACATACTTTATACACTTTGTAATTGGTATTTTAACAGGGGAAGGTGACCAAAACTATACCTTAAGACTGTCCAGCACCTCATTCCCTCCCTCTCAACATTATCTTGATATATTGCATTAAAAGTTAATTTTTCTTAACAAACCAAACTTGCACAAGTACAAAATCTATATATAAAAGGTGTGTATTCCTTCAACACACAAACTATTAAAACAATTTCACAGTTCCTTCTTATTAGTGTCCGGAATCATTAGTGATTATATAAAAAGCATATTAAATAAAAATAAGGGACGAAAGAATTTAAAAGTTATATTGCCAGGAAGTTGTGGCTTTTCAATCTGTTTTCTTTCCATGTAGCCACCTCTTAGAAGAGGCAACAATGTTGGTGGAAGAACAGATAGCGGTCCTGTGGTTTGATCATCCCCAAAACCCTAAGCCTATCCATCAGAATTGAGAAAAGTGCTCCAAATGAATTAAACATTCATGGACGAACAATATTCCAAAATTTAATATGTTCGGCGAGAGAATTTTTCTTCAATGTAAATGTACACTCACTGCATTTTCCTCAATCAGTCTTTCCCTCCAATTTTTTTCTTGGTATTCTTAGATGTTACAGGTCAGAGTGTTGCAAAGTACCAGAAAGTATAAATATACAGGATGGGACCTAAAATATTCCCTTGTGAGATCACACCACAGTATTGTCGTCCCTCCTTCCGATTTAGGACAGGTTTGGTACTTATCGATTTTTAAAAAAATCTCTAATATTTAAAAAAGAGAAAAAAGATTTTTTCGCTCTAATTAATGCCTGTAAACAACAAAATCGAGTTTCAAGTGGCCAACTCTACCAAAAAAGAGCTCAAAATAAACGAGAAAAATTCTTGTAAGTAGTCGCTGATATATAGATGAAGTTGTTTATATGCAAATATTGGATTTTAACTAAAAGATGAGAATCCTAGATTAAAAACTTTTAACCATTCAATCTATTTGTTATCACTTTAGAATAGATAGACCACACCACTGTCTTGTCCCTTCTTCTAACTGAGTTAGGCTATGTGCCTATTAAGAACAAAGGATTTCTAAAGATAAAAAGAATGAAAAAAATCTAGATAGATCGACTAAATTATTGTTTGATAAGTCACAACAGTCCAGTTGTGCCAAATTCAATCCCAGAAGGTCAGAATAAATTAAAAAATTCTTGTAAGTAATTGACCATATGTATTGTTCTCAAATATTGTAAGGAGTTACATAGAGTTTATCCCTTTTATTTAAAAGTTGTAAATCCTAGATTAAATAATCCCTTCAACCATTCAATCTATTTATTATCACTTTTTAGAATAAATACCCCACACCGCATTCTTGCCCTTCTTCCATCTGGGGGTTGGTTAGGTTCTTATCAACAAGATGGGATTTCTAAACATAAAAAGAGAGAAAAAAAGATTTATTGACTAAATTAATGTTTGTCAAGTCACAAGAGTCCAATTGTGCAAAATTCAATCCCAGCAGGTCAGATTTCTTGTAAGTAATTGTGTATTTATATGTGGTGATTAGTGACCGTTAATCGATTTCTAAATAATTGTCTATTTATAGGCAATGTTATTTGTTTTCAAATATTGTAAGGACTTAGATTTTAACCCTTTTAATTAAAAGATGAAAATCCTCGATTAAATCCCTTTAACCATTCAATCTATTTATTATCACTTTTTAGAATAGATAGACCACACCACAATCTTGTCCCTTCTTCCAACTTAGGTTAGGTTTGATGTTTATTGAGAACAAGGGATTTCTGAACATAAAAAGAGTGAAAAATAGGGTTTTCTACAAAATTAATGTTTGTCAAATCACAAGGGTCTAGTGTGTCAAATTCAATCCCATGAGGTCAGTATAAATTAAAACTCTCTTGTAAGTGATTGCCCATATGTGTTGTTTTCAAATATTGTAAGGACTTAGATTTTAACCCTTTTAATTAAAAGATGAAAATCCTATATTAAATTCCTTTAATTATTCAGTCTATGTATCAACACTTTAGAATAGATAGACTACACCACAGTCTTGTCCCTTCTTCCAACATAGGTTAGGTTCGATGTTTATTGAGAACAAGGGATTTCTGAACATTAAAAAAGTGAATAAAAAGGTTTTTCTACAAAATTAATGTTTGTCAAGTCACAAGGGTCTAGTGTGCCAAATTCAATCCCATGAGGTCAGTAAACTTTCTTGTAAGTAATTGCCCATATGTGTTGTTTTCAAATATTGTAAGGACAGATTTTAACCCTTTTAATTAAAAGATGAAAATCTTACATTAATTCCTTTAATTATTCAATCTATTTATCAACACTTTTTTAAAACAGATAACAGACCACACCACCGTTTTGTCCCTTCTTCCAACTTTAGTTCGGTTAGATGCTTATCGAGAACCGGAATTCTGAACATAAAAAGAGTAAAAAAAAAGGTTTTTGACTTAATTAAGCTTATAATCGACAAAATGGACTCTCACTGATTCGATTGTGTAAGATTTAACATCGGTAAAGTCAAAAATATTCCTGGCATTGTTTTTCAAACTGTGTATTGAGTTTTCTTTTCGTTTTGCAAGTTTCACGGTTTAATCCTTCCAATTTGTCCTCGATTGATTCGTAAAATTTGTGAAGAATCTAAAAGAAAAATATTAAATATGGAATTATTTTATTACGAGCTCTGACGTTTTGGTCGTTTTGTAAATAAAGCACGTGATCCCTCATGAAAGAGGTTGCATTTTGTCTTATCTTATGAAATATGATTGTTTTCTTTGTCAAATAAAAAAACCTGACACGGTACGCAAGGTTTCAGTTTCAATACTATATTTTTAAATATATCGCCCGTTGATATGGTTCCGTTCCTTCTAAAGGGTTTGAAACTGTTCAATTCAAGGTTGAAGTGTAATTTGAACTGTAAAAATATTAGTGACATTGCAAAATTCTCCAAAGAGTATGAATACAACGCTTGGATACTGGGATATTTCGGTAGTTCCGAGGAAAAGTACACCACTTTTCCTATTTTCCAGCCTAATAACGACTTAAACTTGCAGGATTTGCACAAACGTTCCACAGTCGAATTGGCCAATCTGATAGCCGACAGGAAGTTGAAAAAGAGACTGGTGGCCCTCGTAGATTTTGAATTTAGCGAGAGGCTGAACGAAAAAACTCCAAAGAAAGAACTTTTGAGCGTATTACACTCTCTGGCATCCAACTATAAACAATTTGATTTGGTTTTCCTTAAAAAAGCTATTCCTCACCTCGAACGGCATATCAAGGAAGGAAACTTTTCTATCTACGAACAGATACAATGTATGTATTACATCAGCAAATACGGTTCAAAGCCGCTTGGAAAACGTATTTCGTCATTGGTGTTGGAAAAGGTTACGAAAAAACAATTAGATATATTAAACGAAAACGACTTGGCCATATTTTGCCTTTCTTCATTCTCTTCCGGCGTAAATTTGGCTGATACCGGAATTCCGAGTTTTATCGTGAAACAAATCTCGAAAGATTTAACTGATACAACTCAGGATTCGCTGTTTATTTTCAGGTTGATCTGTTTCATCAAGTGTCTGCGGCAGGCGGAGCATTACGATGACAATCTTTTCACCCTCTTAGCAAGAAAGTTGATAAACGGTGAATGCAACCTGAGGAATTTACCTGTGACGACTATGGTTCATTTGTTACAATATTACTGTAACGGTCTGTACGCTGATGTTGATTTTATTTTATGGGCGGTTAGGGAATCGGTCCAACAAGTAGAATCAAGTTTCAAAACGAGAAAGAGGGTTCGATTGAAGGATTTGAACAATTTGCTCTATTCGGCAAGCAGATATTGCTGTAAAGAAATCAACGAGGTGTTTCAAAATTCATCCATACCGAATCATGTCTATTATACTTTCAAAGAAAACAAAGTACCACCGAATATGATGGCAAACATACTTCTTTCTTTATGGATAGCTGAATGTGACGTAAAAGATGCTGTCGTTGAATTTATAACAGAAAACAATATAAACTTGATCAAAGGTATCTAAATGAAAACATGTTTTATGAAACTTAATTGACACATTTATGTCTTTGTACAATACTTGCTTATTTATACAGTCGATTAGTACGAATATTCCGAATGAAAATGTGCATTTCAGGTAACGACAATTTTAAGGATTTTGCAAAACTCAACCTTTTTTTGACGTGCATTCGCTTCGAGTCTCCGAATCTGCTCGGATTCGATGTAAAAAATGCGCAGAGCTATCATCTCCAACCTAGAAGGGAGAAATATCTCTTGAAAAGGCCTCATTTAAAAAAAATGTTGGAATTTCTTGCAAAAAACGGTCATATTTACGGCCTGACTGATATCCGATTCGCATTCCAAGTCCCAGGTCTGTACATCGGTGGAATCAGAGCGAATCACCTGAGGTTTGAAATTTTGTTAACACATTTTACAAATGTCTTAAATTTTTTCCGCATACTGACAGTTTTTTAATTTTCTAGTGGCAATTTAGATATCGAAGTTATCGACAGTACTGTTTGTTTAAGAAAGTCAAAACAGCCCAATGGAAATATGGTATTAAAATTGCGACTACTGAAGAAAATGAACCACAATTTTATATCTGTAAGACTCATTTGTTACAACATCAGTACCATCATAAACCACTTTCTAGTCCTAGATCCTATGACATTTCGCTTTCTACAGTGTTTTGCCTGTGTTTCATAAACCACTGAAGATGACAAAATGCTCAAAAATATGATACCACTATATTAAACACAAATAATTCTCGTTAGGTTCTTTTTGAATTATTGAATGAATTAATTTTCATTTTAACAGTTGTACCTGAATAATGCAGACTGCTTCGACCAAAACCTTGAAAGTGTTGAACACCAATTGAAAACAGCTCTTTTATGAGTGAGTACTACAGCCGTAGATGATTTTATTTGCGAAGCTACATTTTTCTTTTAGTTATATGTAGAATCTTGAAAATGCGATAATTTATTATGATTTATTGAACATACGAGACTTTTCGATTGCACAGGAGTAACAAAAAAACAGTAAGTATAAAGTATGACACAATATTTTGGTCAGATATTTATAAATAAAATGCTTGTACTTTAACATAGTGCATCAATATTAAAAAAAGAAGAAAAAACAAGTATTTTTAAATTTAATAAATCAACTTACAAATTCAACAAAATATAGGAGTAAAAAAAGATTTTTTCACAAACTGTCTCCTAATGTTACTGGTGTAAACTAACTTCACTATGAATGGTTAAAAAAAAGTTGTTTTGTCAATTCTTAGCTCTATTCAGAAGAAGTACGATGTATGTACAAAGCAAACTTTCTAAAGTAGAATTGAACTTCCATTATTCATTTCATTTTATTTGTTAATATTTTTAATTGTTTCTTAACAAATGAAATGATTGAGAGATGATGTTGATGAAGACGCAAAAACAGGTTAGGGCTTCTTTCCCTTTTAAGAGAACATATTTTCTAATTGGGACAGTCTGAGGAAAATCGGATTGAATGAGTCACTCAGAGGATTCAACTTTAAAGAGCCAGAGTCTACTTCAGGGAGCCATTTGAAAGAGTAAATTTGAGAGCACACTTCACTTTGCACATATTAAATAAAATGATCAATACTGAGGGTATTGTGGGTATTAAACCACCGAGTATGATGGCCCACTGGGATTCAGTGACTGAAAACATTTTGATCGAAGATAATATATTTCATTTTTAGTTTTTGAAACAATCATTTTTTTACTCACCCTATTTCAAATCGAAGGAATAAATTTATTTACCCGTTGGTTTTTTAGTCTTTCAATTTTAATTTATTTTATTATTGCTTTTTTTTCCAGGAGTAAGATAGATAGGTTTCATCAATAACAGAGAGAAAATTTGAGGAATTAGGAAATAAATCGTACATGAGTCAAATAGAGGATCTTTCTATCCTCAATTTTTTTAAAGAATATAATACATTTTATACATGATAAAAGTTGTTTATTTTAATTTATTGTGTTGACCTTTCATAATCACTTACATGCTATTCATAATTCAGTATGGCAGTTATAAATTTACAACTTGATTAAATTGCTTCCTAACTTTATATTTGTTGGAAAAAAAGTATACAAAATGTGTGAAAAAAAAATTCTACTCTAAATTTAAACAGAAGGTACAGGAGTAAATATGTGCGACGAGTGGTTTTTACATTTTTTCATAAGTATCAACAAAACTGCAAGTTATGCACGATCTTGAATAATTATCTTCATCTTCGTTATACGTTTCGGGGCCGAAGTTGTGCTCGTGATTGGGACCTTTCGTACGATTGTACAGCGAACTTCTGGCTGACATTCTTAAAGCTGAAACATTTCACAATTACAAAATATTTAACTGTACTAGTGAACTGAGATTTGTAGATTAAACATTTTAATGACTCAATTGGTCTCAATTCATCTTTGATTGAACCTGGTCAGTCGAGCCTGCGCATACAAACTACATATCTACTTTTCAATGAGGTGTAGCAAATAAAATAGGAAGTTAATAAAAATAAAACTATAGGTGTACAAGATCTAAAAGTTGTAAATTTCAGTTTTTAATTATAATCAATGTCCCAACGACACAGGCACACATGCAGTTATATATTTTTTTTAATATTGCATATTTCACCCCTAGAGGATAAATGGCTAGCACTAAGCAGCGTCATAGGACGGAAAATAATTCCCTTGCATTTAGCCAACGTTGGTTTTTGGACAATCTTCAATTGTGCCCATTATACACTTAGAATCATTGGTTTGGTCGGTCAGAAGTTGGTAATAAAGCACTCCTTTACAATCTCTTCAATTACACAACATATATACCTGAGTTGTAGTCCGGCTTTTGGAATCATCCACGATCAAAATTCCCATTAGGTCTGAACGAAGGAGATGGGTTTGATGTGAAAACCGTCAAGTACAGTTTCCTTACAATGAACAATTTTTCCCGGATGTTCGTTTAACATATCACAGGCGGTGTTTATGATTGAAACCGTTTCAATGCTTGGTTACAGGATTTGAATGAGTCCCTCGGAGTCAAAATTGTCCTTATGAAGGAGTGGCTCTGACATTCAGTCTCAGGTGGTCGACCATTGCTTTCTGTTCATTTTTATTTTTATTAACCTGGTCAATGGACTAGTTCGAGTTCGGTCTTGCCCTCTTTGTTTATACCTCTTAAACACCTTCTGACCCACTTTACAAAGGCCCTTCGAATAAACGAAATGACAGGCAATGCAAGGAAAAAACACTTGTTAAGTGGCGTCACCAAAGTGATCACATAAAACGGCAAAAACCTAGTCTCAATGAAAAATCAAGTTTTCCTGTTAATAAGTGGGATAAGTGAAAATATAAAAAAGCGATGTCAGGTGAGTATGGTGAGATGAGGGTAAGACATTGAACAAAATTGACAAATAATAACACATTTTCAGAGTATGTAAACAATAAATGACAAATAAACATTACTTCAAAGCGCAACAGAGTTAAAACTGAATTATTTAAAAATGCAATTTATTTTACAAGCCAATATAGGTAAGTTGATGAAATTTCCTTTTGTTATTTTTTCCTGAAGACCAATATTTTACAACAGTAACTTGGAATCTCACAGTTGATAAATATGAAGCTAGTGTACAAAATCGCTTCTGAAATTCTTGTCTTGCATCTGAAATTAATCAGTGAATTAAAGAATGAAACTCTCTACAACTTGTATAAAATGATGCAGGCGAGCAAATAAACCGTAAACTCAATTTTCGCTTTAAACTTTAAAACCAGGTCTAACTTGATAGGTGATGAAAACTTTTTCGTATTTATTTCTTTCCTCTTCTCTCTCTTTCTCTCTAAATAAAATTATGATTTTCATTATAAAAAATACCTTTCAGTACAAACCTTTTAGATTTTTGTTGTATTTTTTGGCCTTTTGTTCTACCCTCTTATGCACTCTTCCCGAATGCTCTTCTTCCAACTTTTCAAGCGATCCCCAAACTTCGATAGCTCTTTCGATAACCTTAAAAATATTTTTTACAAGATTAAACACTAAAAAATGTACACCGAAATTGACTTTATTACTTGAGGTAATAAATACAACTTCATATCTCCCCACATTTGATTATGAGGGTTCTTTTTGCTGATGAATTTTAATGGTGGCTCTCGTTTATCGATGTCACAATCTTTGAGCAAATACTCTTTTTTGAGATCAGATCGTGTTATTAGCGAATACTTCGTGTCACTGTCCCTGAATAAGTAACAAAAAATATGTAAACTTGAAAACTTTGATGTAAATCAAATACTTACCGGCAACCATCGCAGACGTTAAACTCAAAATATTTGTAAAGATAAGATTCAAAAAACTCTTTCTGACATTCTTTGCAGATATGAGTTGTGATGTCTAGTAGTTCAAACGTATTGTCATCAGATTCCGTAGTTTTCTAAAAAAAATGTTTTTGTTTTTTTTAAGCTATAATGTACAAACATTTTGAAGCTTAAACATTTACTGGAGTTGCTTGTGTTTCCTCTATTAAAAAGCCACCGCAGGTGTCCCGGAATTGATTTCCATTAATGGATATGATGTTTTTCTTTATAGTTTCAACAATTCTAGAAAAAAAAAAATTATTAAATATATATTTAAATGTCAAATTGAACTTTTTTTTTAACACATGAAATAAGTAGAGAGAAGTACAATGAAGAAGCAAGAATAAGCAAGGGTGGGTGTCAATGGTCGTAATGGTTTAGGCATTGACACGGCGCTCATCACTATAAGGTAAGGTCCCGGGTTCGAATCCAGCGGCTTTTATATATATAAAATAAATAAAACAATTTGAGGAAGCGACTCATAGAAAAGTCGACTTGAAGGAGTCAATTTGGGGCAAGTAGGGAGTTGATTTGAGGGAGTCATCCCTCAAGGGAATTAGTTTATGAAGCCACAAGAAAGAGAAATAGCTTGAGGGAGTCACTTTAAGAGTGCCTACTTGAAAGCAAGTCAATTTGAGGCAGTCACAGAGAAAAAAAGTCTACTACTACTTGGAAGAGTCAACTTCGGGGAGCTATTTGAAAGAGAGTAAATTTTAGGGAGTCACTTAAAAGAGTCAATTTGAGAGAGTAAATTTGAGGCAGTGATATAGAAGAAAGTTGACTTGATGAAGTCAGATTTTGAGTGCATACTGGAAAAAGAGTAAAATTGAAGCAGTCGCTCAGAAGACTGTCAAGGTGAGGGAGCCACTGTGTACAAGTCAACTTAAGGGTGTTATCCCTTTGAACACACTCGACTTGAAAGAGTGTTAACTTCAGGGAGTCACTCAAAAGAAACTAAATTTGTGGCAATCACTCGTCACTTGAAAGAAAATAAATTTTTAGGGAGTCACTCAGAAGAAAGTTCACTTGAAAAAAATAAAAACAAAATTCGAGGGAGTCACTCAAAAGAAACTAAATTTGAAGGAGTCACTCAGAAGAAAGTTAACTTGAGGGATTCACTGGAAAGAAACTAAATTTGAGGGAGGCACTCAAAAGAAAGTTGACTTGAGGGAATGAGTATCTTGAAAGAAACTAAATTTGAGGGAGTCAATAGAAAGAAATTAAATTTGAATGAGTCACTCAGAAGAAAGTTGACTTAAGGTTGTTACTCAAAAGAAACTAAATTTGAGGGAGTCTCAAAGAAAGTTGGCTTGATTGAGTCACTTAAAAGAAAGTATATTTTTAGGATGTCACTCATAAGAAAGCTGATTTGATTGAGTCACTTGAACAAAAAATTTGAGGGAGTCACTGGAAAGAAACTAAATTGATGGGGTCACTCAGAAGAAAGTTCACTTGAGGGAGTCACTCGAAAGAAAGTAAATTTGCAGCAGTCACTAAGAAGAAAGTTGACTTGAAGAGTCACTCCGAAAAAAATTAACTGAAAGTGTAAACTTTAGGGAGCCACATAAATATAAATAACTTGAGGGAGTCACTTTAAGAGTACCTACTTGAAAGAGAGTCAATTTGAGAGAGCAGTTCGAAAAGAGTCAACTTAAGGCAGTCACTTGGAAGAAAGCCAATTTGAGGGAATCAGTCTATTTGAAGGAGAATGAACTTGTGGAAGCTAATCACAAGACAGTTCACTCGAGAGAGCCTCTCGAAAAAAAAGTCTACTTGAAAAATAATCTATTTGAGGGAGTAACTCTGAAAACAATCTAGTGGAATTCGAGTGTCACTATGAGGCAGCAAATTAGAATAGTGTCCAACTTTGAACAGGAGGTTGTCACTAATTTTTATAAATCAACAATAATACTCACGGTACTTTGTTGAATTTGCTGCTTTTTTTCATTCGTATCGAGAGGGCTTGTTGGCGATTTTTCTCTATCCTCTCTTTATCTTCCTTGGTCAGAGTCACCGGTCCATCAGCCATCCTCACCAATCCAAAAGTTGATCAACAACACTTCAAACGTTTAGAATTGTATTGTTTTCTCCAATTAGATACGTAACTTTAGAAAATAGTAATCATTTTTATTGGATTGTATCGCTTTAAGTATGTACTCATGTCCGACCAACTTTTATTCAGTTTCAGTGACTGAAATTAGTCACGGGCGACAGGGCTTTTCTCATTATCATTTAATTGTGTTAGGATTTACGAATACTCAAAACTTGTTTGTTTACATTTTTTTATCTATCGATAATTCAATACTTTTCAATGTCGATATTGTGCACGTGAATTAGGTAATGTTTAGCCATTAGGCTTTTCACACTTAAAATTTAATTTTACAACGCATCCACCAAAAAAACAAACTATTTTCTTATATAAAATAGGCTATAATAGAATGTTTGTTTTTTCTCGAAAATCATGGCAGGGGCCCCAGAAGTTGATGCTGTGCTCGGGTCTGCTGGAAGCCAAGGCAATGTGTCGCAGTCGAATAAGACATAAACTGTACAAAAATGAATAGGGATATTGCCAATTTTGTAGTATTTACTTTCCCTAGCATTTTTATTTTATTTTTATTATAAATTGTATTAAAATTTATTAGAAATTATGTTTACTGAAGGAAAATTTAGTTAAGGGATTTTGAAAAATTACAAAATCAATGGTTTTAATTCCATAATTTTGTTTATAGTACACAATATTTTTTTAAAACAATTAATACCGTGTATAATGTCCTCTGTTAGCTAAACCCTCCTAGCATCTGTTAGGCATACTGTTAATAAGTGACAATTAATTAAGGTTTTTAGTTGAGATGAAAAAAAGTTAATGGCACGAGAGAGATTCGAACCCACGACCTTTGGCTAGATACGCCACAGCTCTACCACCTGAGCTATTGTGACCTCGTGCCATTAACTTTTTTTCATCTCAACAAAAAACCTTAATTAATTGGTCAAGCGGACCACGAAAGTAGTGAATTACTGTTAATAAGGTTGTCACTAATTTCATAAGGAATATCACTCCATAGATGTTGCAATACTGCACTCAGTTGTTGCAGGTCAATAGGCTGTGGATGGTGATCGAAAAGGCATCTCTGCAACACATCCCACATGTGCTCAATGGGAGGGAGATTTGGAGAAAATGAGGGAAGTTCCCAAGTTTTCTAAAGACAGATAAACAACTCTGCTTTGAGGTCTGGCATTGTTATCCAGAAATCGAAAATCCATGACGAGATCCCTAGTTTGAGGGATGTATTCCGCGATGATTTCATGGAAATATCGGACTGCGGTGAGGTTGCCTTCAACAATATGGAGTCCAATTCATCCTCCAGTGTAAATCCCAGTCCAGACCATCTTCCAAACTGCACTGAAGGGAGCATGAACATTGTACGCATCCCCTGTTCTCAATAGACCCTTCGAGGTCCCCCTCTGCAATTGGCAACAAAAGAGAGAAGTAGTGGTCAGAGCAAGGTCCAGTTTATCAGGAAAACCCATTAAATGGACAAATATATACATGACTTGTTTCTGTTCATTTTGCCTACATGTAAAGAGTGTGAATTGCCTTTAGGTCAACTGTTTTACAACTTTGACTTGGATGACAAAAATAGAAATGCCTTTCTGTTATGAAATAAATTATATTTCTCTATTGGTATTGAAAATTCAATTTTACATTTACATTAAAAAAATGTTCATCACAATTTTGTTAACTAAATAACAAATATCAATAATTACATTGAACTCTAAAACATGAACATTGAATTTGGTAAATAACTAATATAAATATATATACAAATTGAATTATTAAAGGTTTTGTTAAAATTAATAAAGTTCAACAATAATGTAATTAGCAAAAGCATCGAACATCACAGGTCATTGCTAAGTATTGTATCATTATTTTTTTTTAAATAGTTACAATAAATAATATAAAATGAAATAAGGAACTATCACATGTTTGTGTTGAAAAAAATCACATCTTTTAAGATCACACTATCAAAATATATGCTACATATATAAAAATTTATAACAATAACCATGTGGTAACCTTTTTATACACATAAAATTTTTTATTTTACATTCATTGGTATTATTAAAGATATCAAATAGAACATTGTACAAAACAAGATACTGTGGTTTCGTTATAATTTAATTATAAATTTTGTCATGATTCATAATTTTTTGAATTATTGTACTATTAAAGATGACTTTTACACACAGCAGTTCATAACAGTTCTTTAATTTTAAATTCCACGTGGGTTTTCATTTCTTTCATACACTCATAAGCTCGAGTTTTGTCATTTTATCTGTAAGGGTTTTTGTTTTTAATTTATTAACACTCATTAAGAACCATGGCATATAATGTAAATTTGTTTTTCAATTAAAAATACTGACCATAAATAAAAATACAATTCTGGTAAATTAAATAAATATATACATGAGAAAAAAATTGAAATACAAAAAAATCGTTTCCTTTTGTACTATTTATACATTTTTTGTTTGTTAAAATCAAACGGTGGAGTTTTATTCTAACAAAGACTGATCACTTTCTGGGCGCAGATCATTCAAATATTGGTCGAGAAACAAATCCTCAACTTTTTCCCTACTCATCCATTCGGATTCAGGTTCTGAAAACATTTTTGCATATTCTGCTGCATCTGTCAATGTTATGTCTTTCCCTTCAAGTTCTGAATCCTTCAACGGCAACTTTACTGAAACAAACAAATTTATCAACATTTGTAAACCAATCACATGAGATACGTTTAAAAAGGTACAATTTATATAATTTACACAGTGAAAATAAACTCAAAAGAAATATTGGGGTATAAGGCAAGGGCTTCTTTTAGCTCAGCCTAAATGGATGTATATGACCCTTTATTTATTTATTTTTCAATAATTCACTAGTCGTATCCCAGTCAGTAGATCAGGTTCCAGTTCCTCGTGTAGTAGACTGCCTGGGTTTTTCCTTCCCTAGTAGCAGAATCTGGTTGGCTAATAAGGAGATTTCGTTCACTTCAGTTATTTTTATCTTTGGTACATCAACCAGGATTTAGACTCATTAGGGATCTTTTTTTTTAATACGAGCAATATGTTAGGCTACAGAAGGGTTCGGGGCGGCAAGGGTTTATACTGATTATAGGCCCACTCCTGACCAGTATGTTGGCTAGCTCATTACCTTTGGGACACTGAGGAGTTGAGGAAGTTAGTAAACAGAGCCCAAAATAATCCAACATTTCTTATTGAAATTGTTGGTCTGATAGATATATTCAAAATTTCAGATTAACTAAGGTGCTTATTTGATAAAGGCAACAATCGAGTAGTAGGGTAGCACAGTGGGTCAAAAGGAGCATTTGAACAGCTATCTCAAGGGATTACTTTAATTATTTATTTCATTTTTAACATTAATATGTTTTTAGGCTGGGTACACAAAATTTTTTGGGGAGTGCACATAGGTTGGAACCAGTTAGGTTAGGTTAAGTAGAGTCAGGGCTGGGGACAGTTAGATTAGATTAGGTTGAGTTTGGGACAATTATGTAGGGTTAAGGTTGGGGATAGGTTAAGTGATTTGAATGGATCTTCAACTTGAAGGCAAAGTTGCTTAACTTAATTGCCAAATCCTACGATGAAGAGCCTCTTTATGACCTTGTGCACCACAACCCAAGTGGTCTATAACTTCTGGGAAAAAATAGTTCTCCTCGCAACTTTTAAAAATGCAAAACTTAACAGTTATCTTCTGTGAGTAGATCTACCTTTTCCAAAGTTGCCATACTTACCCCACCTCAAACTGTTTCTATATTGGTATATTGTGCAACAAGCCTGTTTCTTAATGAATTCAGAAAGGCATCACTAATGAAAACACTGTTGACAGATGGGGTTAAAACACTTCATGAATTTGCCATCCTTTCAATCCATAATTGTTTAAATTTAGAATTAATTATATACAAAATGTACATAATCAAAATGATATATCATCACTTACGATTGAATATTTGTGTACCATCCCATAGTTGTGCATCTTCAATAATAGTTTCAATTTTATCTTCGCTGTCTGTACCATCCGAACAAGTGGAGGACTCTGTCACATCATAAATTTCTGTTATTTTGACCTAAAAAATCAAATAATATGTACATATTTATTTAAAACACAATACAAATCAGGCTAAGTAATTACAATTTCACTTCTTGAAATGTCTTTAATTATGTAATACTAGATAATAGCACAATAATACCAAACTTGATATATCATGCTTTTAGAAAAATTATGTTACCTTATTATCATCATCCATATAGGAGAATTTAACGATTGCATCTTGATGAGAAGTAACTCGAAAAATGTCTTTTAGTGTCTCTTTAACAGAAGAATTTTCTAATTCATCTGGCAGGCTATCCCGCCTTGCTAATATTTCATTTGTTGTTAAATCAGTAGCCATTTTTAATTCACTGCAAGTTAAAAGTTACGCATAAATAAAATTTCATAAATGAAAAAACCATGAGCATATCATAATGTTAACCTTTCATCGATGTGGAGTTTAAAATTGAGCCCTTTCTCATACAACTGTGACATGTCATCATCATACCCTACTAAAATTAAATTTCACAAATAAATTTCAAATACATAAGAAATGGTTGGTAGATAGATAGAAACGTTTCTTACATCCAGTATATTCCATTTGACAGGTTATGTTTGATGGGTCATAATGATCTTGTGATGTACGGTGCACCATATACATTATTACGCTGCTACAAAACTGGTAGATTAACCTCAAACTTTCACTCATGGATGGTAACAGTGTTATAACCCTTAAAAAAAACAAAAAAACGTGTTTACAATAAAACTTCCATATGCCTTTATTGTTCAGTTTACAGAAAAACGTTGAATTATGGATGTGTAACCTAACCCTAACCCAAATAATGTGCACTCGAGTTGGTGATGGGTATTGGTCTGTGAGCCAGTGAACTCATGTTCAACTGTCACAGGGTTACTTACAGGGTCTTCTCCACTCGCGTATTTTTTGCGTTATTCAAACGTGTTTCAGCATTGCGCCATCTTCAGTGAGGAACCTCGTGCTTGAATAACTCAAAACAGATGCGAGTGGGGACAGACCCAGCAAGTAAACCTGTGTTGGTTCAACAACTTAATGTGCACTCCCTCATAATGTGAAAGGGTCAATAAAAAATTTGTTTATCCAGCCCAAAAACAAACTCATGTAAAACATTCTACTTTGAGTAGAAAGTGAGTTTACATATTTTCTCAGTATCACAGAAAACTTTTTGCAATGGTCATCTAACCTAACCATCCCTGAACATTCATAACCTAGCCTGAGCCTAACCATACATAACCTAAACTGCCCTAGCCATAACCCTTACCCACACCCACCCCTGGTAAAGCAAAATTGACCAAAAAATTTGTGTATCCAGCCTAAAAACATATTCATGAAGTGCACTTTGAACTCACATAATGGTCATCTAACCTAACCCTCCCTACACATACATAACTTAGCCTTATCCCTAACCCTAAACAACCTAACCTAACCTGTCCCTGCCTCTTACCCTACCTAATCTAACCCATGCGTACTGCTCTCTAATACACAATTGGTGAGAAAAAAATGTGTATCCCACACATATCCATTTGAATATCAATAGCCTTGATTTGACTCCTTAGTATTTGGCTTTTTTTATATATATTATATCTGCTGTTGCAAATCTTAAGAAAAATCTGTAAAATGTATGATTCCCCCCTCTTATTACTTATGTAATACACAATTTTAAATGTAGATTTTCTAGTTAATTATGGTACTTTAAATTCAAAGGTAAAAAACCTTAATTATTTTGTTAATATCAAAACAAGGCCATAAATGGCTAATCAGCTTAGCCATATTCAGATACTTTCTTATAAACAAACACTGATGACAGTTCGACTATCAGCCCTCTCGGAATTTGATTGCATTATTCATTCATAACTTTCTATTGATAACTTATTTGTAATTATGAAATTTAAAGTTGAATTGACAAAATTGTATTAGAAGTACGCATTATTGATTATATCCATAAGAATTTTTCATCTTTTATTTATCTACAAGATAATTAAATATTAAATTTAATTAAACATTGAAATGCTTTGTTTTAGATACCTCTCAGCCCTAAGAAAACAAATTTCCAGCTTATCTGGATACAATAAACACAACTGAGATTACAATATTGTTAGTTCTAGGCATTAAAGAAGAAAATGTAAATTTACTTTTTTAGGGTTGCCATCGCTAAATCAAGCGGAATGGCATAAGGAAGGCTTAAAAGTGTCATTAATTTCATCCCTCTGTGCGACAGCATCCAATTGTAGAATCCCTTGTTTGCAGAATCGATCGCGTCTTGGAACACTCCTACTATCGTGTCGGGTAAATTCGCTCGCGAAGCCTCCTAACAATGAATTAAGAATTACTAACTTTTCAATGTCCATCAGGAATACAATACATCACCTGTCTGTGAAGTTCACAGTCTAAACATTGCGGATCATACTCCGAATTTTCGCTTACAGCTTCCGAAAGGACAAACGTCGATTGAACCGCTACACAATGGGTACAATTTATTAAATTGTTCCTCTGAAGAAATCTCAAAGCGTCGTCGAAACCTTGTTTGCATAGTTTAGATAGAATCTAAAAAGAGGAATCGTTGAAAGGTTTTCTTAAATATGGATCACATTGTAAACACACCTCGACTCTTGGGGGCCAAAGTATCCTGGCAAAACGATACACGTTTTGTTTCGATAATTCAATACTGGTATTAGCGAAATTGACATGGAATAATTGTGATGAAAAATCTCTTGGGCAAATATCTGTTTCACCACAAAAAGGGCTGACAGTTATGGTATTTTCATCAAGCGTTGGAAGGTTATCACTGAATCCACCGTCTATGTATCGCTCGCCATGGAACATAGGTGGAAAGAAACCAGAGAACACCGGAACGAACGCACTAGCAAGTAAAGCCTATGGTGGACAATAATTAAATCAATACAAATAAAAATTAAATACTATAAGACCGTGATTAAGGCTAACCTGCAAGAGATCGTCTTTACTGTCGAATTGAGAAACCAGGACGTTCTTTCCATCGGAAATCCTCGTTAAAGAAATGTGTAATTTTCCATTTACCTTTAAATGCGCATCATCTGGTAAGACCTGAAAAAATATTAAAAATAAAACAATTTTTTATTTCTAAGTGTGGGAATCAAACCCACGACCAGAGAGTCTGACAATTTAAAAGTAAAAGTAATTCTATTTGTTACAGCTTCATTTCAATTAAAATCCTTGGGCTAGGCCAGGATTCGAACTGCTAACATGGCAAATCATCGGATGCCCTAACCACTTGGCCACCGCAGTCCCCTAGTTCGATGATTTATTACTGTCGAAAGAAAACTTTACCTTGTTAAGATTGTTTGAAAGATATTCTTGAACGTTACAGCAAGGACTGAACGGTCCTAACGTCCTATGTCTCGCCTCTCTTATTAGATTAAGCATATCACTAGCAACAACCCCTAAGAAAAAAAATGGGTTAATAAAAAAAAAATCAACATACAAGAAAACGTACCAATAGGAAGGTCGCATAAAAGACAACATGCAGCGATCGCACCGGCAGAAGCTCCTGATATCTTATGTAGTAACAAATGCGGTGCATACTTCTGAAGGCAGACTCCGACTCCAATATGATAAATCCCCAAAAACCCACACCCGGCGAATGACAAATTCATGGTACACTGTTTAAAACAATTAAGATCACATGATAAGGATTGAAGATGACATTGGTCATAGGAAACAATATACAATAATCAGTTAGAAAAAGAAATATATTGACATATTTGTTTATATTTTTATTTTGACATTTTTCTATATACACAATGTCTATCTGATAAATGTAAGGCTTTTTAAAAGTTCGTTTGTCTATTTAAAAAGCTAGAGAGGATATCAAAATTGTGATTTTTAAACGATAATAATGAAACGTCATGGGCAAAATAACTGGTAACTTTTACGTTTTCTCACAAAAACGAGGCCAAGTTTTGTTTTTTCCCACTAGATTTAATCCGATTGTCAAAAACTGCAACAAAAACAAAAGAAAAATTGAATAGTTTTTGGGTAGTTTTTACTTTTTAAGCGTGACAGTAAATGAAAGTCTCACCTGGCTTTCTCCCAGAAGGGCGTCAGTCAGCCCTGTGTGGAGAGATCAGCAGGTTTCGTAAAAAAGGCAAGTATGCAGTTGAAGATGTTTTCAATGTACGATGTTCAAAAAGTGGCAAGACGGAGGTTGCAAACTCGACCTCCGTTGGATCTGATGGAACGGCCTCGACGGCAGAACCGACTATGACGGAACATGTCCCCACTTCAATGACGCTTGTTTGTCTTCCCCACCATCAGGATTGTGCGTTCTAAAAAGTCTAAGACTCCGTTTTGATATCTTTCGGAAGGATAATTGAGTTTAGAATAGCTAGAACTGATTGGAAAAGGTAAAGTAGAAGAAGACAAACTTGGAGCTCTTCTATGGTACACCGACGGCTCAAAGATGAGAAATAGTACGGGCATGGGCGTAAAGAAGCCTAACTTTGAATGCCACATGACCCTCAGCCCCCAGGGCCATCCCTAACCATTGCAAACCTACGCAATTACGAAAAAAATTGTCTGAAATTGTCTAAATATCCAGAAAAAACTAACTTTGAGCAGCACATGGCTCTCAGCCCCCACGGCCAACTTCCAAAACGAACTGTCAGCCTCAGAAACTTGTCAACAAAGGTGCAACATACTAATTCTTTCAGACAGCTAGGCAGCCTACGAAATTACGACAAAAATTGTCTGGAACTGATTAAATACCTAGAAAAAACTAACTTCGAGCACCACATGGCCGTCAACCCCTCACGGCCATTTTTCAAGATGAACTGTCAGCCACAGAAACCTGTCAACAAAGGTGCAACAATACTAATTCTTTCAGACAGCCAGACAGCTCTAAAGGCTTTTTTCGGCAAAATAGCCTAACGCTAAAGTCGGGCCCAGGTCATGGGGAATTGTAGGCAACGAGGTAGCATATATACTTGTTAAACTATTGGGCCTTGGAACAACTCATAGAACCAAATCCATTTTACTTCAGCTATGTTAAATAAAGAAGTGAAATCTTGGGTAACTAAAGCCCTCCTCAAACGGTACTCAATATCATGTGGATACTAGCGCATAGTCACGTGGATAGTGCGACATTTTGGTCTCCGCATTTCCTCGACTGAAACTATTGTTAGAGTACGATATAATGAATAAACATCCTTAAATGATTGTCGTCCGGATAAACCTGTATCCCAATCAGGCGCCTGGATAGTAAAGGAACATTTGAGATGCGATGATACAGGAAATTATTCTCAAGACGCCCAAGGGCTGTTTTCAACTTAATGCTAACCTCGATTCATAACACTGGATTAAGCTACAATGGTCAATTATTCGGCAAGGAATATTCAAATTTCAGCTCTTTTGTGGTACGGTTAGGGTGGCATGTAAGACTCTCAACACCGAACACGTACTGGAACAACTTGAACTAATGTGATTCCTCTCCCTTTATCCCACCACCAAAGACCTCCTGGAGAAGTAAAGGTCTCAACCAGAACCAAGAGTAAGGACTATGATCTACTTTAACATTCTTCATCTCAAGGCGATATTAGTGACCGGGGATTTTGGGGGTCGTTATTTGAAGTCCATAGCCTGACGTTGATGAGCCGGATGTTGCAGCGGGAGTCGGTAGATTCGGTAGGAAGCGAAGGACCTCGTGCAGCAGGCAGCCAGGTCGGCTGTTAGGTGATCATGCTGGAGTATCCTGTTGCTGTATAGCCAGTGCTGCCGGCTTGCTCCATTAGTGTGAGTTGTTGAAATCTCGTCCACGAGCCTGCACTGTTTAGGTTCAGCTCCTGCCTATATACAGAGCTGCTGCAACCTCATTCGCCGTGGAATGCGAAACCATTGTTGAAGCAGTAGTATAGAGTAGGTAACTAGTTAACCACAGGCAGTCACCGCTCACTACCTAACTACCTAATTATCTACACAACTAGTTAATCGGCTACAATACCATCCCACTCTTCTACACCGTCATCACGGTCTCCGACGGCCTCCAAATGTCCACCAAAAATTAAAATATCTTTGGTAATTGTCTTCATGATCCACAATACTAACAAACCAACTGACAATTCCTCGACCTATAAATCGCCTACCTATCGTTGGGAATGCATTTTAGAAGCTACTAATATCGTGTCTGTAGTCCTATCCACAACCAACATTTTTTCCTAACAAATACTTAAGTGACTTGTCGAAAATATGTGGTTCCGAGAGAATTCTATGGAGCAGGCGTAGTATGTTGTAGTTCGTTGCTGTACTGATTTTTTTGCCTTTTAACCTTAGGTGTTCAGAGCAACTTTTCAACATCAGATTATACAATTTCCCATATTTATTACATTAAACTTGCCCATTTTTCTATTTTTGCATCGTATGTTACTCCAGCCTGTGGTAGTTAAAATTAATTAGTAGTTGTCTATCAGGTGCAAATTAAAGTACTTGCTCTAATTATAAAAAGTATATATAAAGTATATACACTGACAGAGGCAAAAAATTCCACCCACTTGTAACATAACTTGATTTGTATATATTAATCAAAGTTTCACGTTTTTTAAAGGTTAATAATTGAGTTTTTGTCTTCAAAAGTAAAAAAAACAAACAGTAAATTGCTAAGGAAAATAAAAATTAAAAAATTTAAAAAAATAAAAACAAGACGCACAGATAAAATTAGTTTTAATTAGGTTTTTAATTAACATTTCAATATCGCGTATATTTACGCTCTTGGCTAGAGGTTAGCCCATTCTTCACGCAGAGTCCTATCAAGATCGTGGAGTGTGTCAGGAAGTGATGGACGAGCACTTATTCGTCTTTGGGGTTATCTCATAAATTGGGGGTCGATGGGGTTCAAGTCTGAAGAACGGGCTGGCCAGACTAAGACCCTGGTGTTATGCTGTTGAAGGTACCTTTGTACTATCCAAGCGACATGGACGGGCATTATCGTGCATTAGAATAAGATTGTCACTGATTTCATCGAGAAAAGGCAACGCCTGATGTTCCAAAATTTCATCCACATAGCGAGTGGCCGTCAAAGACCCTCCACGAACAACAACCAACTCCGTGCGACTCTCCATTGAAATTCCCACTGAGTTATGTCGAAAAGGTTGGATCTGGGAAAAATTACAATCGTCGAATCTTCCATTTCGCCTTCTCCACACTCTTTCACGCCCTTCTGGAGATCGTAGAGCAAATCTACACTCATCTGTAACAACTACAGCAGACCAAACGTCTAAAGACCAATGGTTGTTCTGTAGCAAATGGGAGCTGTGCAACTCTGTGTGTTCTGGACGATTCTGGTGCTCGAACGGGGCGAAAAGCCATAAGTCCATATTGATTTAATCTTCGTCGAGCAGTGGGTTCAGAAATTTGGACATCTCGAACTTCCTGGAGCTGATGAATCGCTTGAACAAGAGTAAGGTGCCGGTTTTGCAAAATTCTCAAAGTCAAAAAACGGTCATCCTGTGGCTCTGTTACCCTGGGGCGTCCAGAATTGGCCTTCGATGGTAGGACTTAGTTTCTCGAAAACGTCTAACGGCGTCTCACAGTGTTTTGTAGGGAACTCCGATGGCAATAGCCGCATACCTGATGGAACATCCATCATCCATAAGTGCCACACCACGCGCGACATCCTCAGCACTAAGTGGCATTTTTAAGTTTAAAAATTGAAATTATGAAAACAAAGATGAAAATAAACAGTTTATTGTTTCAGAATTCAAATGAGACTGAATAAACATTTTAAATTCCGTAAAAAGTAAACATTGAAAATTCCTTTATCCTTGTTTTGGATTAAGGATTAAGTGTGTTTAAGGGCAGAATTTTCTTTGATCGAAAAAATGAAAAAATCAATTGGGTGGACTTTTTTGCCTGTGTTAAGTTACAAATTGATCGAACGGCTTCAACCGAAGGGTCGACGAGGGTATCGCGACAGGTTCTGAGAGAGGGGTTTTGTATATATCGTCCGTACGGGGCTCAGTCCTCGTTCCGAACCAATGGAGAAATGGAAGTTTTGGTTTTCGATCCTCGTATTCGCCGGGCTCTGCTTTCTCGCCCTTAGATTCACACTGACCGTGAGAAACGAGGAGAGTGAGGAGCATCTCTTCGCCTCCTTCTTGAAAAAGTACAGAAGAAATTACACAGAAGAGAGCGAGGAATACAAATCGAGGCTGGACGCTTTTAAGGTAAACGTTACGTAACGTGGGGTCCCTTGCGGCTCGTCTGTTTTCATAATTAAACCCATACATTTCGAATTTGCTGCAACTTTAAAGAAATTCGAAGTACCCTATCATTTTTATCCTATACACCAAATTCAGTTAATAAAAATATATATTTCATCATAATGCAAATCGTAAATAATAAAGGAATAAGATAACAGTTTATTTTATTAGTGGATTTTGTTGTTTAGTGGTACTAAATATGCAAGAAAATTTGTATTTTAAGCGAACACCACCCTTGGTTTCGTTGTTTAGACAAGCGCAAATATTTGATTGAACATAGATAAAATTTATTTTTTATAGTTAGACAGTAAAAATTTGGGGTACTTTCGTAAACAATAAGTAGTAGTTGTGATATTTCCTTTTACTAACGTTATTGAATTTTATTAAAAATTAAAATTAGGATATTTGCTGCGCCATTGGTAATCTCGTCACAGTGAAAATGTCGCTAATGGGGCCCTCTCACAAAGAAAACAGTGCCATTGGTAATCTCGTCACTTTGACAACTTCGCTATCGGGGTCCTCTCACAATGAAAACAGTGCAATTGGTGATCTCGTCAGAATGACAAATTCGCCACTGGGACCCTCGCATAATGAAAACTGTGCCATTGGTGATCACTGGGAACCTCTCACAATGAAACCTGTGCAATTGGTAATCTCGTCACAATGACAATTACACCACTAGGACTCTCTCATAATGAAAACTGTTCCTTTGGTGATCACTGGGGCCCTCTCACAATGAAAACTGTTCCATTGGTTATCTCGTCAGTATGACAACGTCGCCATTGGGACCCTCTCATAATGAAAACTGTGCCATTGGTGATCACTGGGAACCTCTCACAATGAAACCTGTGCAATTGGTAATCTCGTCGCAATGACAATTACACCACTAGGGCTCTCGCATAATGAAAATTGTTCCTTTGGTGATCACTGGGGCCCTCTCACAATGAAAACTGTTCCATTGGTTATCTCGTCAGTATGACAACGTCGCCATTGGGACCCTCTCACAATGAAAACTGTGCCATGGGTAATCTCGTCGCAATGACAATTACACCACCGGTACAGTTGACCTGGAAGATTGGAGATGATCAAACTCTCCATTGACATGATTTCCTAATTAAATGTTACTGAGAATAATAGTTTCCTTAATAGTCTTATATATTATCTTTATCCTCTAACATGTATTCTTTCAGAATGCTGTTAAACTTACAAAAGAATGGAACAATGGCAGAACATCAGAGTTATCAGCTCTCTACGGGATAACACAATTTGCTGATATTTTGAGCAAAGACTTTTCCAAGAAGTATCTCAGGGGGCGCAGCCATGCGAAAATCCATAAGCATACACATTACCATCACCACCACCACGATAACGTCACCGCTCAACGTATCAAGAGAGCCATCGACGTCGACCTTCCGAATGTCGTTGATTGGTAAAATTCACAGACAAAGCGAAACGAAACCGAATCTAACTTGGATGTGTTTTTCAGGAGGAATAAGAACGTGGTGAACTCGGTTAAAGACCAAAAGCTCTGCGGAGCTTGCTGGGCTTTCAGCACTGTTGGAGTTATCGAGTCCATAGCCGCTATCAAAACAGGCGTCTTGCCGACCCTTAGCGTCCAACAAGTAACGGCTTAAAATATAAAAATCTTTCGGTTTGTTAATTACCACTTTTTTACCAGATGATAGATTGTGCAAGAAATGGAAATATGGGATGCGTCGGAGGGGATCCATGCTCATTGGTTGAATGGCTCGACGAAAATAATATAAAAGTGGTGTCGGAATTAGATTACCCTCTTTTGTTAAAGGACAATGCCTGTATAGTCAAAAAGTAGGTTAAAGGATGAACATTTTGAAACTCGAGTATAACTCATAAATAACATTGAAACTAATTATTTGAAAAAATGAGTTCTATTTTAGGTCTGACTATGGAATAAGAATAGCAGACTATACCTGCGATTAGTAAGTAGGATGCAAATTAATTCATTTTATAGTGAATCCTAATTGAATGGCAACAGCCTGGTAGGAAAAGAAGAGAAACTGTTGAAAATGTTAGCCCTCCATGGACCGGTGGCTGCTGCCGTGAACGCTCTAAGCTGGCAGTTTTACCTCGGAGGTGTAATCGAGTCTCATTGCGATGGCGCGTTGGATAAACTTAACCACGCTGTTCAAATAGTTGGCTACGACCTGACATCCTCTTTGCCGCATTACATCGTGAAAAATTCCTGGGGCAAGTATTTCGGTGAAAAGGGCTACGTGAGAGTTGCAATCGGAGCCAATGTTTGTGGTAAGACAAGTCAATCCCTGATGTATTATTTTTCATTAGAAAACAACAACATAACAACAGGTTTTCTTTCAGGTATCGCATCTGAAATAACATCATTGGATGTTATCACGTAAGCAGTGAAAGCGAAAAGTAAGATACAAATAAAAACTTCAAAGCAATAATAATTTTTTAAAATAAATAATCTATTTTTACCCTGTACACATAAAAAATACATATTAATGCGAGCATATGTTTTTTTCTCTTCCGGCCGCAACATTAACATGGCACTGTACCCGTAGGAGAAGTGTTAAAAAAAACCAACCAACGATTGGTTCTTGGTGTAGGATGGATCGAAAGCTTGGTATTGAACTTTTAGACGAGGTAATCAGTCTGTTGACAAAAAAGAATTTCGAGGTCGTTATGGATAATGAGGTTAGCAACGTGATAATTTTTCTGATCACTTTTAAAAGCTGGATATTCCGATGGTTTGCCAAACAGTTCCAGTTCTGTCCAGACTCCTGCATAAAGCTTTCACGGACAAAACACATTTTGGTCCCAAATATCTTTGTAGTTGTCCTACTCTTTTGTTGGTTGCATCCTAGGTCTTGTGGGGGGTTGTACCTCAGTGTTCTCTGGAATTTATTATATTTTTGAACGGGACACAAAAACTTTTTTGCGTGATCATTTTCACGTTACCGGGGTGTTAAGGTTAGGTTTAATATTAATGTGAGCGTTAGAGACAGATTTGGTTACGTTGGATTATGGCTAGGATTTGGGGTAGGTTAGGCTAGTGTAGGGTTGGGGTTGGGGACGTGTCCGATTAGGTGAGGGTGTTTAGCGTTAGGGACACGTTAGGTTAGGTTAGATTAGGACTAGAGACGGAGTAGGTTAGTCTGGGGTGTAATAGGGTTAGGGAAGGTTAGGGTATTAGAGGAGGAGAGTGTGTGTATGCGTGTGTGTGTTTGAGAGAGAGAGAGAGGAAAGAGTGAGGAGAGAGAGAGAGAGAGAGAGAGAGAGAGAGAGAGAGAGAGAGAGAGAGAGAGAGGGAGAGTTNCAGACAAGACAGTACATCTTCCTCACCCCACCCACAACTATTGACCCCTCATAGCCAAACATGGAAATTTGAGGCTTATGCAGAACCATAGCAATAATTTAAATGACCTGTTACTCATCCAACTCTGCCGACTTCTTGAATGATTATTTACGAGTTCTCACAATGGTCGTGGTTGGTGAGAAAGAAATGCTGTCGGAATGGACATTCAAATTCGTGTACACACCCTCCCGCTCTCGCCCCTCACGGGTTCTCTCTCCCGACCCGTCCATTAACTCGCTAACAACCTTCTTTACCTGGCATAAACCACCCAGATAGAAGTGCCTAGGGTAGAAAACAAGAATAAAAACTGTTAAAAAAAGAAGCGATACTCCTTTACCAAGTACAGTGAATGTGGATATTTCATATCCCGAAATACCGTACGAAAGTGTTGGTCCCTTGAAAGAATCTACTTATATCATATAAAGCCAATGCATTTCAGTCACCTCGGATTTTATTTCTTATAATTCGTATTTTAACGTTAAAATATCAACTAAACGTATGAATAGAGTGATACGGTTTTCCATGTTAAAGATGGCTCGAGCTCCATGTCATGTACATCGTCTATTCTGACCAGTGTTGGATCTTTCCAGGATATTACATCCGATGCCACTGAGTCAAGACAAAACATGTAAAAATCGATTCAGCCTTTACTATGACACCTTCTTGACAGACGACTCGCCAAGTCCATAGTCAGCCAGACATCTACTTTTGAACTTCTATCAATGTAAAAACCGTTAAACCATTTCATATGAAAAAAGTCACTGAAGATGGTACAAGAAAATTTATTTCATTTACCTCATAATCTTATTATGGAGATCCACAAAATCAAGGTGGACGCCATCAAAAAACCCAAGGGAAAACCACTCTGTGTTAAAATGATAAAAGAAACCATAACAGCAATAAAACGTGGTGAAAAACGAATTGACGTGTCGCGTCGTTATGACGTCCCGCCATCGACAATAGCATCGATTCTTAATAATGAAAAAGCAATCGACACAGCCGATAACAACAGCACAAGGATGCACTTCAAAAAAGTTATCGAAGTTGGAGAAAGCATTAATTAAATAGTTTAATCAGGCTAGAAATTCCAATTATGAGAGAAAAAGCATTCTTTGTAAAATTAGGAATCTCGAGCGACAATTTTCGGGCGAGTAACGGGTGGTTCGGGTGGTTTGATCAGTATAAGAAACGCCACAGCATTAAATTTAGAAAACACAGAGGGGATTTCGATCGAACTTTGTCACGAGTGGAAAATCAAAAGAAATGAACGACCAGTACGAGACCAAAAATGTATTTAATGCTGATGACGCCTTACTATTTTTTAAATGCCTCCCCGATCGCTCCATGTGCTACAAAGGAGAGAAATATCCTGGCGGCAAGAGTGGCAAAGAGTGGATAACCATTTTGTTGGCATGGATGGTTTGGAAAAGTTGAAACCATTAATGTTCGGAAAATCTGTAAAACCGAAATGTTTCAAAATCATTTGATCCTTTCCAATAACATATCCTCGATCCTCCAGCCGTTAGATGAAGGCGTCATCGTGTATTTTTTTTTCTCCAAAGGGACAAGAACCCCCAAAGGTAATCAATATTTTATTTTTAAGTTTGCTGCTGTCAAGAAGCTGAATAATTTGACAATACTTTCTTGGTTGTCCACTAATATTTCATACAGCGTATTCGGGAGAGAATAAAATTTTCTGAAGTCATGATATATGTGATATGATGATATGATAGTAAAACATGTTTTGTTGTTATTATTTCATTGCATGCTCAGCATACAAGGGTCACTGGCCATTAAGTGACCCTTGGTGGTCCGGCAATGTCCTACTCTCAACCTACTCAATACAACCTCCTCCCTTTTGTTCGACCTAAACGATAAAGGCCAAGCCTATGTGGTAGACTTGATTTCACGAAGCATGTTGCTTGTAACTGAATGCCAGGTTTTTTGCCATTGTAAATATATTTTCTCCCTAAAGGGCGCAATGAGGTCATCCTTGCCTCCACAACAAGGTTTCCATCTCCAACTGCCTCCTTGGCAGCCTTATCTGCTCTCCTCATTGCCAGGGATGCCTGAATGACCAGGAGTCCAGAGAAAAAAAATTTCCCTTGCTGCTCAAGATTCTCAATAAGTACAATAGATCCTGTACCATAGGGTTATTGCTGAAAGGAAGATTAAATGTCTGCAGGACAGCCATGGAGTCAGAGCAAATAACCATTATTTTCTCGTCTGGATGGATCTATGTTGAGGGATTTATTTATGGCTATCATTTCGGCGCTATAGTTGCTTGCTAGGGGTTTTAGTGAAAATAAATATTTCCTTATAGATACTTGCATCACCAACACCCTGACTTCTCTGGAACCATTTGTGTATACATATGAGGGCTGAGGGCAGTGCGTTTATGATTTTTTCGAAACTCCCGTTTGTACATGTAGTCAGGAGGGGTTGCTTTATTATATTTCGCCAGTGATTGTAGAATTTTAGGGTCGTGTAAAAGCCAGGGGGATAATCGATTGGGTTTCTTTTTGGATTGGGGGCACTGAAAACTGCATAACCTGTAGGAGCAAATACAATCGGGCAAAGTAGATTTGGTTTCCTAATATTGCATAATCTGCAGATGGGATCATCGTTATATATGCCTATGTTGTGTAGAAGTTTTCTCAGATGCCAGTGACCGGTTAGTAGTTCTATCACTCCTCTGAGTCTAGCCCTCTACAATTGCAGCAGGCGGTTTGCCAGATTTGGTGAGGGTTGTTTCATCATAAGTTTACTGTGTCTAGCGCCGCTAGAGTTTATCCACCGCTCCTTTTGTTTTGTTTGGATTCATTCTGCGATGGAGGATACTATATTTGTTTTGTTATCCTAAGTATAGGTTCGGGGCCTATGTATGATCTTGCAGATTCTCCTCTGTTTTCTCGTTACCCAAAATTCCTTTGTGCCATGGCACCCAAGGATATCAACAAGTTGTGTTTCCCCAGGTTGGATGCATTCACTGACTATTTTGACGTGATTTGTTTACATGCTAATGCTTTAATGGTTTCTTGGCTACTAGATCTTATGAGGATGTTTTTGCTTGTGTAACCTCTTTTAAGATGTTCTAGGGCACAAGGGCTGGTGGCATGTATTTCTGCTTGAAAGACAAATGAGTTCGATTGCTCATGTTTTGGGTTTGTACAGAAAATGCCCGATCCTGTTCCTTCATTTGTTTTGGAGCCATCTTAACCATATCATTGTATGTGATGCTCTCCTGAGTTCTTCCTCTCCTTTATTGTCCGTTGAGAGTTTATAAGATGTAGTAAAGATGTTTACGGGACTTCTAACAATGGGTCTCTGATTTTGTTAATTATGGTTGTATGCCCTAATTGTTTAGTTCCTATTAAATTTGATTTTTTTTTAGCTTAAATGAGCTTTCCTCTCCTTGTATAAATGTTTTCAGTGGAGGTAGGTTGTTCTTATCGTTGTTCTTATCTGCGAGTGAGGGAGTGAGCATGCATTAATACAATTACTATAATTTAATTCACTGGTCACTAACTAATTATAAGCTCCCCGGTTATTTTTCACCAGTGCCTTCTAGATTGCCATGCCTTCTAGATTTCACACTTCGTTGCTGGCACAAGTATGTATCACCAGATCTACTGAACCATTTGACCAGAAAGTAAGTAGCCTAAATACAATAGAACGTATGAATACATATTAAAAAAAATAGATAGTTTGTTTTAATTTTAGGGGTGGTGATTATTATCCCTGCCGACTACTGGCTTAACATAATGTGAAAAAGCCATTTTTTGCTAAATAAGTGTCCTTTCTATTAGAACTGAGTAAATCTCTCTATTTACCTGACAAGGATTCAACTCTAAATATTAAATCTCAATAAAACTAAACCATAGTATAGTGATATATAACACATTATGTAGTGGAGGACATAGTAATGCTGACGCCTTGCAAAAGCTCCTTCACCAACCTCAGAAACAAAACTACAAATCTGTATAGATTAAATAATATAAATCTTGTGCAGGCATCATCAATCGTAACATTTTAAGGCTGGGGCAGTTTTCGAAATGTTACCGTTTCAGTGTAGTCTGGTATAGGCGGATGTCCAAATTTTGACTCAAACATTATCATAATTTCAGAAAATTAGAGAGCAACGAAGGTTTAAAAAGGTACAAAATATTTCAGGGGAGCGAAGTTTCACAATAAAATAGTGCAAAGTTGACAATCGACTGACGCCTGATATCGTTGTCAGACGTTTCTATTCTCAGAAACAAGAGTAAGAACGTTCCCTTCTATGTCCACCTCTCAATCTTTCGAGATAACGTCTGGCCTTACAAAGGAATCTGCTGGTAAGTATGGATTGTTCATCTCTTCCTCAACAAGCGGAGCCCGATAAATAATAACTTCTCGGCAAATGTTGACACGATCCGAACACATTTTGTTTTGAATTTGAATGAGGGGACAAAACATAGCTCACTCTGAGGTCTGACCTTCATATTATTTTAAAACGATTTCTTATTGCATATTTTTAGTTCTATTTCTCATTTCAAAACTAATTTTTAAATTGTTTTATAGCATTAAACTTGTTGTACATTCCCGTTTGGAAAATATGTTTAAATTAAGCTAATCTAGCTAGATTCATGAAGCAGGAACAACATTCTACTACATGTACACATACTTCTACTATCCTATTTTATATCAAATACTTTTGATATTATTTTTCTTTATAGTACATTTATATATGTTATCTTTTGAATATCTAGACATTTTTATTGGTTTGAATTGAAATATCTAATAAAAAAATATAGCCGATAGAATGTGCTTAATACTATGCTAGTCGCACCGGCGAAAAATAACTTAGAAAGTTATAATTTGTATTTAGTGATCGATGTTGTAAACTTGTAGTTAATCAATTATCTTATTATATTAATTAAAATTGTTTATTAAAGTATAATAATCAACTATAAATGAAAAAAGAATGGTGAGGCCTCTAGAGAGAAAAAGTGTGACACCTAGATCTTACCGGTGAAAAACTGGTTAGTCATCAGTTAATTATATTATAATAATTGTTTTACGTTTATTGATTATTGTTTATTAAAGCATAATTCTGTACTTTCGGGCTGAACTGGGTATGCTACATTTTAGCAAAATCCGTGTGAATTCCAGTAACTCTTTAGGCCTGAAAACTGCCGTAAATTTAATGAAGCCGAGATGGAAATCTCATAAGTCAGAAGAAGGAGAAGGAGAATTACTACACAAATTGAATTTGTACCAAAGGTCTAAACTTCAGAACTGCAATCCCGGAAACTTGTATATTTGAATTATCCAGTTTTGCCCCGACGGTGCAGATTTTATAAACGACCTTAAATTAAAAAATATATTTAAATTAAAAAAAGAAATAGTGTGGCGTCTAGGTTATATCAAAATCTAGAAAAACAAATGAGAATATTTTAAATTATTAGTTAGTGATCGATCAATTAAACTGTAATAAATGTTTTAATTAACACTATTTATTAAAGTGTAATAACCAATTTTAAACGGAAAAAGGGTAGTGCGGCGGCTAGAATTGTCGTGAGATCTAGCAGGCATGTCGATCTAGAAGGCAACGAAGAAATAAAAAGAAGGTTATAACATTTTAATGACCAGTGAATTAAACTATAATAATTGCATTAATGTGTATTAATTAAAATGGTTTATTAAAGTGTAATAAACAACCTTAAACGAAAAAAGTGCCGTGGCGGTCAGAATTGTCGTAAGATCTAGAAGGCATGTCGATCTAGAGTGATAAACCACTTAGAGGTTAGTTAAGTTATAATTTGTTAGTATTCAGTGAATTAAACTGTACTAATTGTATTAATGAGTATTAATTGCCTTGGCGTGAGGGGCTAGAATTGTCGTGAGATATAGATGGCACAGGTGAAAAACAACTTAGAAAGTTATAATTTGCCAGTTATTGAATTAAACTATCATAATTGCATTAATGCGTACTAATTAAAATTGTTTATTGAAGTATAATAAACACTTGTAAACGAAGAAAAAAAGGGTGGTGAGGAGGTTAAAATTATCGTGTGATCTAGAACGCACCTGTGAAAAACAACTTTGAAGATAGGTTAAGTTACATTTGTCAGTAATCAGTGAATTAAACTATATTAATATAGTATAGTAGATAAACTACATTAATATAGTGCATCCTTTATGAAAGTGTAAACCACTTTACACATCCTTAAACGATAAAAAATAGGCTAAAATTAACGTGATATCCCGACAGAGCAGGTGAAAAACAACTTAGAAAAGCCAGTTACTGCCAGGTGAATCAAACTACAATAATTGCATTAATATACATTAATTGACAATGTTTATTGAAGTGTAATAACCTCAAACTAAAAAATAAATAAAAAATATATAACAAAATAAATATATTACAAATAAAAACTCCCAATGTTTGTATGGTATCAATTTTTTTTTTGAACTCGTTATTTTGAAGCCTAGCTTCTTGTGTTATTCTATTGACAGATTATTTCCAATGTCTTGTTTTTTTTCGCCGGATGGTGTGACAAAAATTTGTGGAATGGGGAACTATTTGTTAGGTCTGGGTTGAGGAGCGCGGATCCGTCCCGGAGGACTTCGAGTCTTGCAGAGGAGGTGGTGGCGACCGAAGTGAAGAGTGGTGGAGGTTCAGGTGGTGGTGGTAGAGCTTCGGCAACAGGACAAATCCCTCCGGTAAGCTGCGATCTTCAGTCCGACTCTGGTTTTCCTCCTACTCGGTTCTGTACGGAGTCGTTTTCTCTTCTTTTTTTTTTTAGTCAACTTCGCCGTCTTGACACCTTGAAAGACGCCGGGCCGAGCCATTTATCGAACCGTTTGTACTTTTGGATATTAAGAACCTTTTACCGCCATTCTTACAAATTTCGACCCCCTGAGAATATTTTCCCACGCCCTTCAAGGCGCGAAGCTCTCCCGACTCGGACTTATTAAGTGTCGTTTTCTCCTACACCTGCGAAATAAATCGAAGGAATATAAACCGAGGTCGTCTGAGGAGGGATGAAACCAAACGACCTGAGGTACAACAGGTTCTAAATCAGTGCCACGGAGAAGAAAAGACTCGGAAGGCGTATCGGTCGGAATTCCTTGACTTCTTGTGAACTTCGACCTGGAGAATACAGAACAGTTAATCGTGTTTAAGTGTGTGCATTTAAATCATCGGACCAACAGGAGCATCGCTGTAAGTACTCTTGACTTCTAACAACTTTCAGTCTTAATTACTTTTAAGAAAATAGCCATTTATAAAATTTTCTCTCATACATTAACGCCGAGCAAACCCATCTACTTTTATTCAGGCACACCTTAAATTTGAAATATATATATAATTAATTTAGTATAATTGGTTTTCGTAAATATCCGCTGATATGAAGGGATTCATCATCGGGTGAATAATCATCGTTGAGTGGAGACTGTGTGCCATAGTTATCAACCCTGTCGAATCTGCGATATGGCACTATCAGAAAGTCGACGGAGCTTGCACAGATTTATCCAAGGTTTGATGATGATCGGTAAATATTTGTTTTTCCGGCTTATTTGCTGTTGGTTTGTAGACTACTCGGGTTTTTAGATAAAAAGCCATAATTTCTGTGTGAGAGTTGCGTCCTGCTCTTTGTCCACATCTTGGTTAAGGTCGGTCGGACGTCATTACCTCACGGTTTTTTTTTATAACCGTCCATTGTCATCTACTCACTGCAGACGCTCATACACCCACACTTAGAAGGCATACACGCACGAATCAAAAATACACCCGCTCATTATATATTAAGCCGGCCTTTAATTATTCTCCCTTCTTGGATTTTTTTTGTTATCATGGCCAGTTTTTTGGCCCCTTTTTTTCTCCCTCCGTCGTTTTCAATCTGAATACGCTGCAAATTCATTTATAAAGTTCTAATTGTGTTGCTTAAGTTCACGGCGGATCTGTTCTATAGACAGATAATTATCAGCCAAATGAACAGTTTTAGACTTATTTGCGTGCACGAACTGTCCCGACTGTCAACAGAAGTTTCCTCTTTCTCGCCTTTCCCAACTTCAGTGAAGAGACAGATTGGCCCGAAGTTTGTAAAATCAGTCATGACTGCATTAACCCATATTCAAACTCAATTACACAACTGGATTAAATTACATTGAAAAATTACAACCCTCGCGGTTTGTTCATAGGTATTTTGAATATTTTTGGAACCTATGGAAACATGCTTTGCGAGGTCATTAGAGGTAAAATGTTTTCAACAGTGGCCCCACAATTGTATCGAATTGGTGGAATTCCATGGTTGCCTGCCACAAATATTTACCATTTTGATTTAAAAACAACTGATTTGAGTTAATTAAAAGTTATAGTCATTTTCAGTTTCACTGGCTTAAATTTTAATTAAATAAACAAATATGGCATCAAAATGGTGCAGGGAGATTTAAAAGGCATGTCGATCTAGACGGCACCGGTGAAAAAAAATTAAAAAGTTCGTGATTTTTTTAAAGACCAGTGAATTAAAATATAATAATTGTTTTAATGAGTATTAATTCAAATTGTTTATGAAAGTGTAATGAACAACCCTAAATTTAAAAAAACGGTGGTGTGGTGGCTAGTGAAATCTAGATGGCACTTGTGAAAACCAACTTATATATATGTTAGTGATCGACTAATTAAACCATAATATGTTTTAATGTGTATTAATTAACATCGTTTATTAAAGAATAATAAAAACTTTATAGAAATAAAGAAGTGGTGCAGCGATTAGAATTGTTGTGAGATCTAGATGGCAATGGTGAAAAATCACCTTACAAGATTATAATTTGTTAGTAATCGATTAATTAAACTATAATAATTGTCTGCATCCTCGGAGCAAAACTGAGTAAGTCAAATTTTGCAAAATGACAAGTACATATTCCAGTAAGTCTTTAGGATTATAAAAACGGGTATAATATCATCTCATAAGACAGGAGAAGGAAAAAGAAAGTAAACAACTGCCAAATTGATTTTGTGCCAGATGTCAAAACATTAAAATTGCACTCTTGGAAAGGTTAATGATGAATGTTTAATGGTTCTAATCGTTCGACGATTGCGATTTTGGACTTATCCAGTCTTGTCCAGAGGGTACAGAATTTATGAACAGCCTTAAACAAAAAAAACAAAAACAAAAAATAATATGGCGACTAGAATTGTGAGATCTGGATGGCAATTGTGAAAAATCAACTTACAAGGTTATAATTTGTTAGTGATCGATGAATTAAACTATAAACTGTTTTCATATGTATTAATTTTATTATATTAATGTGTATTAAAGTATAATAAACAACCTTATAGTAATAAAAAGAGGGGTGTTGTGGCTAGAGTTATCGTGAGATCTACCGGCGAGAAACAACAGTGGATTATAATTTGTTAATGATCAGTGAAATGCAACAGTTGCATTAATTCAAGTTGTGCCAAATTACTTAAAACGGCATGGTTTTCTTAAATAATTAAACCGTCCATCTAAAATTCGTTCTTCCTCCATCCAACATTTGGAGATGCACAATGGTGCAGAGGCAGCCAAAAACTTTTTTTAAACATTTCTCCTAAAAGAGTATAATTTTTTAAAATTTAATGGTTTTTCACCGGTGCTATCTAGATCGAGTCATGCCTTCAAGATCTCACGGAATATTTGGGGGTGTGTATTACACTTCAATGTATAACTGCGATTTTAATTATTACACAACTATGCAATAATACAATAATATAGTTTAATTTACTGGTACTTAAGTAGCAATTGATAACCGTGCCGGTTGTTTATCACGGATGTCACCAAGTTCGACATGCCTTCTAGATCTTACTGCAGAAGTTTGTCACCAAATCTATAAGACGATTCGATCCAGAAAGGTCGATTCAGTGGGTTTAAAAACATACCAAACCGTTTACAAATTGTTATTTCAAACAGGTGTAGGTTTATGAAATTATCTTGATTAGAATTGGTTAGCATTCTGGTTGTTACAACCCTATTAGTCCCCCTAAAAATAAGACGTTTAGGGGTAGGTGGTTCTATAGATATCATCTCTTGTAGTTTTAAACATGTAGGATTGTTGCCTGCGCCACAAGATAAATTCACAAATTAGACTGCAATTTTTAATGATGTTAGGTTTTTGCCGCTTTATGTTGAAATTTAGCGACGCCACTTAGCAAGTGTTTTTTTCCTTGCATTGCCTGTCATTTCTTTTATTCGAAGGGCGTTTGTAAAATGGGTCAGAAGGTGTTTGAGAGGTACAAACAAAGAGGGCGAGACCGAACTAGTCCGTTGACCGGGCTAATAAAAATAAAAATGAACGGAAAGAAATAGTCGACTACCTGCGACTAAATGTCGGAGCCACTCCTTCATGAGGACAGTGTTGACTCCGAGGGACTCATTCAGATCGTGTAACCAAGCATTAAAACTGTTTCGATCGTAAACACCGCCTGTGTTATGTTAAATGAACATCCGGGAAAAATTGTACGTTCGCAAGAAAACGGGACTTGACAGTTTTCCCATCGAATCCATCTCCTTCCGTTCGAGCCTAATGGGAATTTTGATTGTGAACAACCCCAAAAGTCGGATTACATCCCAGGTATATATAATGTTGTGCATTTGGAGGGATTGTAAGTAGGTGCTTTTTTTATGAAATTCTTCCGACCGACCAAACTGTTGATTCTAATTGTAAGTGTATATTGGCCAATGAAAATGGATATAATAAAGTCAGCAATTGACCAAAAACCAACGTAGGCAAACGTAAGGGAATTGTTTTCCTCCAGGACATCGCGCGCCACCCGGTGTATTCGCCTGATACCTATACTTCATATTTTCACTTATTATGGGCACTGCAAAACTCTATTGCCGAAAACACTTTACTTCACTCGAAGACTGCAGAAAACTCATCAAGTTCGTTGGTCAAAACCCCCGAGACCTGGAAGTAGGGAATTACAAAATTAAATGGAAGATGGCAACAGGTAATGGAACAAAATGGCTCAAATATTGTGGTTTAAATTTGTTTACAGTTACCCGAAATTTCCATTGAATTTGGCATAGAAAATAGTTAGGCGATGTACTTACTTATACCGAAAGAAAATATTTATTTATTTTACAAAAAGAAGAAAAATATGTAAAACAGTTGACGCTGTTTTTCCCTATGCCCCTTGTTTTGGCAATACTGTGGGCAACACTGATTTAGGGAAATCTTTGAAAGGTCTTTCTGTTGATTGCGTCTTATTGTTAGTTATAGGCCATGAAATTGTTTTTTGAATGTTAATAAGAACTATAAAAACTAGTTTTGTTCAGGTGAGTCGATATTAAGTGTAATTGATTGTATATTTTATTTCTTTACTTACTGCTGTGAGTCAGAACAATAATCCAAAGGTGAGGAGGAAAAAGAAACGTTTGGACAAGAAACCGGATTTATCGATGTACTACGGAGTAGAGCCAAGTGAAAATTAAATTTGGTTCAATTTAAATTTGAAGAGGCTTTTAAATTTTAAGTCTCTCAATGATGTCCAAATAATTTTGGTTGAATAGGAATTTGGACCGAAACGGTAAAAATATAAAACAGCTGATGCTATTTTTCCTCCGTCTCCTTGTTTTGGCAGTACTGTAGGCAACACTGATACACGGACGTGGGGAACACTGTGGGCAACAACGGCTCAGATAAATGAGCAACACTGTGGGCAACAACGATTCAAGGAAATGGGCAACGTTGTTTGTCCATTGTGGGCAACACCGATTCAGGGAAGTGGGGAACACTGTTAACAACACTTTAGGCAATACTAATTCAGGAAAGTGGGAAATACTGTTAACAACAGTGATTCAGAAAAGTGGAAACCACTGTTAACAACACTGATTCAGGAAAGTGGGGATCACTGTTAACAACACTAGGCAATACTGATTCAGGGAAGTGGGAAACGCAGTTAACAACACTGATTCACGAAAGTGGGGATCAGTGGTAAAAGCATTAAATCACGAATGTGGGAAACATTGTTGAAGGCACTGTGGGAAACAATGATGTAGGAAAACAGACTGTTGGCAGACCATTCAGTGGTAGTAGGGAACACTGTTGACAACACTGATTCAGGGACGTGGGGTCTACAATAGATTGCATGTTAGTATAGGCCATGAAATTGCTTTCGAATGTTAATAAAAACTATAAAAAGAATAATTTTGTTGAGGCGAGTCGCTATTATATTTGATT